AGCAGAGAAATTGCATCACTGATTGCGTAGTTTGCTGCCAATGAAAAATTTATCAAGAGCGCTAAGCGAACAATCGGATCCAAATGCAGACCCTTAACCTACGAGTTGGCCTTAAATTGCCCAAATTGTCCAGTGGCTTGCTCAGTCCAATGGTACTTCAAGTAGCTGCAAGCAAAAAGTGAAATTCCTTTAGCATATTCCAATGCTAATGCTACTAAGTATGATTTTCGTTTTGCGAATGAAATTTCCACTGTGGTTGCATTTCTCAAGAAGACATGCTCTCTGACACTTTGTTCGATCTTCCATTATTTTGATAGAAATTAGGTCGGTATGCTTTTGACAGCAAAAGTAACACTACAAAAACACGGATTTTTTTTCGGAAACCGAAGTTTTTCGGTGAGAAACTCAGCTTCTTCATACAATGTAGCAATAAAAATTCAATATATTAAAATTTTTCAATAATATATTCTTGTACTATGCTTGACTTTCTTGTACTGCCGGTGAGTTGAATAAGCAGTATAGAAAGAGACACTTTTTTTCTTTTAGCATAATTGAAACATGTTATTAAAAAATAGATATGAGTGCTGCTATCTAATGTTTAATAGTTTGTAGAAAACTCTTTATAGTATAAAAAAAAATTCAATGCCATCTTATTTGGTTAATGAAACAAACGAATGCTTTAAATAACTTGTTGTGGTCGCTGAACTACGTTTTTGAAAATTTTGACTCACAAACTCGATTTTTGACTGGCCTGAACTATCGTTTTTCCTTTTATAACATCATAAAATTATTTGAAACCTCAAAATTGAAAACGAGAAAATAATTGTGTTAATGCAAAATTGCAGTTTAAAAAAGTTTAAGGCATTGGCTTTTTTTTGTAAAACATCTGAAGTTTTCTTTCTAAGTTTCGTTTTTGTTGCTATTTAGTTTTCCGCCCACGCGCAATGTCAAGTACAACGTGATCTTTCACTCATCTAAAAACAAGGATTTTGGAGTATTATAGCTGCCGCAACTCAATTTGGATTAATTTAATAGTGGTTTATAGGCCAGTTGAAGTATAAACAGACACAATTTTAACCAGTCGAAATTACGGAGCTGTTTAATTTTTTGTTGCTAATTTTTAGGTGGTTTATTTGGCTCTCAACTTAAATTGACGCTCACGTTACGTGCTCAAGCAAACTGGTAAGTAGATCGCATTAATTAGCGCGAATTGGAATTTGTCAAATTCCTGTTATATATACAAAAGTTGGTCGCAATTCAAATATAGTTTTGATTTTGAAAAAAAAAGACATAATTTTTTTAATTGATGAAAACCTGTGTTAACATGGATGGCACTTTTTGTAATGTAGGGTTATTTAAGCATACTGTAGAAAAAAAACTGAGCACAAAACTGAACACAAGGAAGAAAAAGACTCCAGCAAGAAAATTGTAGCTGATCATCAAATAAAAAAGGGGCAGCAAAAACCTTCGTAATGGAAAATTGATAAAAAACATGAAAGTTTTGTCACAATTCGCGAAATTGAACTAACTCACAAATCGTAATCTTGTCATTTTCATTTGATTTTTTAATGCATATGTGTGATAGAAAAATTTGTTGAATTAAAACAAAATGTTGAAGAACTTATAATTATTCTGGCATCAAAATTAATTGTATTTCTTCGCCGCCTGAAGGTGTCCGTCTCAAAGCATTGTGCAATTTCCTCTTTTCGATAATCAATCCCACAAAATAAGTCAATTATAGCACAAAATTTGTATCCCAAATTTGTTTAGTAACACAAATTTGTTTAGAAAGCGTTTTTCTACGTCAATAATTGTTTCATGGCAATTATGTCCAATGAAAAAAAAACAGCTTGTACCGTCAAAACTATTGCTTGTTGTTTACATGAGGATGGACCTTTGATTAACGCACCGGAAATATCTGTTTTGACAGTAGCCACAATACAAATAGTCAAAACGGTCAAAAATAGTTTTAAAAATATTGTGGATTCTTTCGCAATTTGAGTACTAAGCAAAACAACACTGCTCGTATCAGGGCGAAGCCCTGAAGGTTCCGACTGCCTTTTATGGTTTATGGAGCAGCAATAATAACATAAAAAAAGAAAATGAAATAAAATAAAATGAAAATTGTTTTTCCAAAATTTGAAATTTTTTGTGAAAATCATCCCCCAACACGCTATATAAAGTACAAAAAGATAGATTTCGTTACTTGTAACAAATCAATTATGGCAAATAAGCTTCGTTCAACCAATTTGGAACGATTTATAAGACGGATTAAATCTACGCTTACGCGTTAATAGCGCGAATTATGTCGCGCGTTAATTGTCCCAAATTGGTCAAAATGGCCAAAATGGCAATCTTTAAACCCTCCTAACTTTAAGAAAAATGATCACAGGTGAAATATCTTTTCAAATTTAAGTTCAGGACAACAATGGCTTTCGAATGATATAAAAAATTTTGTCAAAAATGGCTAGCTAAAAAGTCGAAATTTGTCTGAAGAAAAAAAAAACCCACCCCGAGCTCAAATATTCCGTTACTTTCGTATCGAAAGTCGGAACAAAAATTCAAAACAATGTTTGGATCAACAATATACACGATTTTGTACATATTATTTCACCTACGATCGGTTAACCGACTCGAACCACCTAGCAAGAATGAAAAATCGTCAGATCGTTCATCGCCTCACTGCCATAGCCGAGCTCTAACTTGACTTCAAGCTGCAATAGTAGTACCACGTGAACTGTGATCATTTTTCGTAAAGTTATGAGGGTTTAAAGATTGCCATTCTGACCAATTTGGGACAATTAACGCGCGATATAATTCGCGCTATTAACGCGTAAGCGGAGATTTAATCCGTCTTATAAATCGTTCCAATTTGTTGAACGAAGCTTATTTGCCATAATTGATTTGTCTCAAGGAACGAAATCTATCTTTTTGTACTTTATATGGTGTGTGGGGGGATGATTTTCATTAAAAAATTCAAATTAAAAAAAAAAAATTTCATTTTATTTTATTTCATTCAATTTTTTTATGTTATTACTGCTGCTCCATAAGCCTTGCTGATACGAGCAGTTTTGTATAATTAATGTACAACCTTGCACACAAAGCGCACACTAATCAGACTAAATTGGCAGAATTGTCATTAAGCAAGAACAATTTTTTAATTTCGGCAATTGTTTCCGTCAAAATTAATCACCAAAATTGCTGCGAGTATAAAATCCCCACCCCCGGACATGAATTTTATTTACTTTCTTCGAAAGCCCGCATGATTTTTTAACTCAATAAAATAGTTTGAGTTGGAAGTTTTACCTGGTCCAAAAAGATGGGAGTTAATCAAGATTTTTTTCCCGATTCAAGCATTTACATGCCTTAGTTTTGGGGTAAAATAAGTATACATTGCCCAGTTTTTATTGATGTCTTTTGAGAGCTTATCGCTGCACTTGAAGTCAAATTACCTTTTTATAGGACTTCTCCCTAATCTTTTGTTTTGACTCCACCGCGAAGCATTCCCCCAATATTAATAAACCGCTGACAGCGCCGAGGCATTTTTTGAATATTTAACGAGTTTTTATTGGAAAAGAATGCCATGAACAAGAAAACAATCCCTTTCGCTTTGTTATATTTGGCTGTCTATTTGCATTCATAAAGGGGGATTCGTTTTGTAATATCTTTCCATTTGGTTAATACCATTTAATTTCGTTTCCTAGTCCCATTACCGTATAATCATCTTTCTTATTCATCCTTTCGATGATGAAAATGTTTTTCTGAAAACGGCAATTTCTTTTGCTGAAGAGTCCATTTTATGGGAAACAATTAACCAAATTTGTACCATTTATGAGAGAGATGTGAGCTGAGCACCGGTTTTCCTTTCTCCTGCTGATAAAAAAAAACACTTTCTGCTCAAAAGCGTCTCTTCGGCGTATTCGTATGTTTTTATGTAAATACGTAAAATTGGGTCTTTTTTGTTCCATTTTTAGATGCATACATCCCATCTTTGCCTATTTGTGCGCGCGAGATTGAAGTGCAAAATATTGATCCAAAAATAGCGATTAAGAAGAGAAACATATCTATGTGCGGCACTGTTGTATTCAATATGTATTGCCCTCCTCGCCCCCTGTATAATTACATGCACCCACCGGTGTGCTAACATGTATACCTATAGTATACAGCATACCACTTTAAACCCAAATTTATGCAATTTGTCATTTCTTTTTTAATCAGCGTTCAGTCGCCAACGCCGCCGCCGTTTTCCTAGTTCAGGTTTCCTCCCAGCTTTCGCTTTCCGCCGCTAAAAAAAAACTCTCAAACGCAATATTTTAAAAACAGAGTGCCATTTAATCGCCTCAATTCATAAAAGATTTCTTATTTAAACCGCTTTGTTAAAAAAGAGGTTTCTTTATTTTTAAAACAAACAAACATATTTGCATCACGAGGCTTATGCAATGAAAAAAATAGACTAAAATTTTATGGCTGCTGTTTACAATTATTTTCATTTATGTAGCCATTCAGAAAGTTTGAGAGCCAATTATTGCAAAAGCTCTCAATTTGTACTTGTAAACATTGCAAAAAATCGCTTTTCAAATTGTTGTTCATATTTGGTGCTTTTTTATTTACTAGCTAAGATTTACAGTTTGGCTTTAGTTACGCGTGGCTTAAAATTAACACTGTAAGTTTTTTATTTATAAAGTTTTTCTTTCATTTTGTCTGATGATGATTGTTCGACTGGCCTTTTTTGGAGGTGTAGGTTGCCGCCTACTCATTTTAGTATTTCGTGTATTGCCTTGAAATCATGAACTAAATAAATGCCATTTGTGTAAACTCTGTGTAATAACATGGTAGTTATAAAGAGAACTTTATATCGATCAACAAAAGCATAAATATATTATCTAAATGAAAAAGGATGTGTTACGCAAATTCAGCAGTGAACTACCACTAAAAAAGATCATATTATTACCAAATCTGGATTTTTAACTCCTTTTTGTAAAACCCTTGTTTTGTTTCAGGTTTGAGTTAATTGCCACTGACTTTCAAACTCCTCTGAAATCAGGACGATAGCAGGCCCGAGATACGAGCTTTTAAGACTCGGAGACGATAAAAATCTTAGCGTTTTTTATAATCGTTATCCTCATTATTATGATGGTCCTGAAATGGAAGTAGCCATGTTGTGCGCGTTCTGTTCCTGCGGTTCAATTTCGGGCGAAAACCCCAGCCCCGAAGACACCAACGCCCCCCAGGAGGCTGAGAGGCCAAACAACGCTCCCACCAACAATAACAACAACAACAACTACGTCGCCAGAACCAACACGGGGGGAGGCGGGGCTAACTCCAGCACAGCGAGGAGTGGCGGAGGAGCTGGAAACTCCAGAGGCGGTCCGAACAATAGTTCGACAAACAGCACGGCAACTAACAAGCGTCGATCCTCGGGGAATTTGAACTCGTCTAATAATGCCAAAAACAACAGCTGCAGGATTTTACCCCTACAGTGAGTATTTATCAATCTACAAACATACTTTTTGGCTCTTTTTCCTTTTCCCCCGCCAACCTGCAAACCTACAAATTTTTACAACTAAAACCTTTGTTCAAATTGTTCCATTGTTAAGAAAATCGACATGCGGACTTGTTCGTGGTTTTTGAAGTTCAGCTGTATTTCGTCAATATCTATGTAGGAGGCACTTAGCACAGTGGTAAGGCGTTCACTTTGAAATCGTCAGATCGTGTATTCGCTCCCATGCCATGGCAATGATAGTGTGTGAGGACAAGCTCTCACTTGACCTCCAGCTTCAGGTCTACCACAACCTGACCAAATTTGGCTGCAATAGTGGTACCACGTAAAAGTTCTAGACGCAAAAAAAAAAACGACCTTGAGTCGCAAAAAAACAGCTTCGCTCAACTAAATAACACTGTCTGGAATGTGGGGAGATAATACAAATGGACTATCCTCAACAGGACTGATAAGGCCTACTGATAGCTCCTCTGCGATTCGCAGGAACTACAAATATCTCTTGGTAGCATGAAATATTTGTTTAAGAATAACTGTTCTTTTAAATCACCAAAATTGGTTGGCAGAAAAAAACCACCCTGAAAAGGTTTATACTTCATTTTTTCCTTCACATTTGGAACCATAGAATTTAGTAATGAACAATCAGTATTTAAAATCGCCTGATATTCGATGCATTAAACGGTGCATTAAACTGAGGTAACATAATCTGTTAAAATATTTAACTATTATCTATAAGCTATTAAAATATACAATGGCTTACCCTCGCTGAAGGCACATGTTTGCTATTGATTAAAATGTTGTCCGAACATCCCATTAGGACCTAAGGTGGGTTTTTTACACAATGTCAGGTAAGGCTGAATGCTACTAATTTTGGTATCATTTTGAACCCCTTCTAGTCATATTTCCAATTCCAAAAAAATATATAATTAAGAGTCCGGTAAAACTGATTTATAACAAGGATAGCCGGATACTATGCAAACAAAAAATTGGACACTAGATTTTCATTTAAAAAAATCTAGAAAAACAAAAAAAATTTAAAAAATCAAAAAAAAATCAAAATTTTTTTTTGATTCCCAATGGCGCCAAAAACAGTCCAAAACTTTTTAAAACTCGAATAACTCGCTTGAATTGCTCAAAATTCGACAAAAATTCAAACAGGTTTTTCACGACACTACAAAACTTTTAGAAACATTTTAATGTCGTTTAAATCTCTACCGAAAGGGCTTTATCATAATATAACACTCAATTCACTCCAATGATTATTTGTGATAGCTGATTTTGCATGAAAAAATGAAAAAAAAAACTAAAACACCCGAA